GAAGTGTGTTTCTTTTAGGCAACAGACCATAGGTCTTCTTTTTTCATCCATTTAGTTAATCTGTGTCTTTTGATTGGAGAGTTTAGTCTATTTACATTCAATGTTAACTATTAAGTAAGGACATCCTTTTGCCATTTTGTTTTTGGTTTTCTGGTTGTTTTGTGGTCTTCTTTCTTGCATTTCTGTCTTCCTCTAGTGAAGATGATTTTCTCTGGTGGTTTAGTTTCTTGATTTTTATTTTTTGTGTGTCCATTGTATATTTTTTGGTTTGAGGTTACCATGAGCCTTGCAAATACTATCTTATCACTCATTATTTTAACCTGATAACATAACACTATTTGCATATAAGCAAACGAACAAGCAAAAAGGAAACTAGTAAAAACTTGCCTTTGTTGTTTCTGTTTATGTCTTATTATACTGCCTATGTCTTGAAAAGTTGTTTTAGTTATTATTTTTGTTTGGTTCATCGTTTAGTCTTTCTAGTTAAGATAAGAGTAGTTTGCAAACCACAGTAACAATGTTATAATATTCTGTGTTTTTCTGTGTATTTATATTACCAGTAAGTTTTGTATTTTCAGGTGATCATTTATTGCTCATTAATGCCCTTTTCTTTCTGATTGAAGTACCTCCCTTTAGCATTTCTTGTAGGACAGGTCGGGTGTTGATGAAATACCTTAGCTTTTATTTGTTTGGGAAAGTCTTTATTTCCTCTTCATAGTCAAAGGATGTTTTCACTGGATATACTATTCTAGGGTAAAAGGTTTTTTCCCTCAGCAATTTAAATATGCCATGTCACTGTCTTCTGGCATATAAGGTTTTCACTGAAAAGTCTGCTGCCTGATGTATTGGAGCTCCTTTGTATGTTCTTGTTTCTTTTCTCTTGCAGCTTTTAGGATTCTTACTTTATTCTTGACCTTTGGGCATTTGATTATTAAATGTCTTGAGGTAGTCTTCTTTGGGTTAAATCTGCTTGGTATTCTATAACCTTCTTGTACTTGGATATTTTCTCTAGGTTTGGGTAGTTCTATGTTATTTGAAGGTTTACTCAAAATAAACTTTCTATCCCTATCTGTTTCTCTGCCTCCTTTTTAAGGCCAATACCTCTTAGATTTGCCCTTTTGAGGCTATTCTCTAGATTGTGTAGGCACGTGTCATTGATTTTTACTCTTTTTTCTCCTCTCTGTGTTTTAAAATAGCCTTTCTTCAAGCTCATTAATTCTTTCCTCTGCTTGATCCAGTCAGCTCTTAAAGGACTTGATGCATTCTTAAGTATGCCAATTGCATTTTTGAGTTGCAGAATTTGTGCTTGATTTTTAAAAATTATTTAAATATCTTTGTTAAATTTATCTGATAGAATTCTGAATCCCTTCTCTGTGTTATCTTGAATTTCTTTGAGTTTCCTCAACACAGCTGTTTTGAATTCTCTGTGTGAAAGGTCACATATCTTTGTTTTTCCAGGATTGATTCTTGGTGCCTTATTTAGTTCATTTGGTGAGGTAATGTTTTTCTGGATGGTGTTCATGCTAGTCGATGTTCCTCGGTGCCTGGGCATTGAAGAGTTAGGTATTTATTGTACTCTTCATTGCCTGAGCTTATTTGTAGCCATCCTTCTTGGGAAGGCTTTCCAGTGACACTGCAGTTCTTGCAGACTTGTAGAGGTACCACCTTGATGGCCTTGGGCAAGATCTGGGGTAATTCTCTAGATTACCAGGCAGAATCTCTTGTTCTCTTCCCTTACTTTCTCCCAAGCACACAGAGTCTCTTTCTCTTTCTGTTCTGAGACACCTAAAGCTGGGGGTGGTGTGACACAAGCACTCCTATGACCACCACCACCACCATGAGGTGCTGGGTCACACCTGAAGCAAGCACAGTGCTGGGTCTTGCCCAAGGCCTGCCTTAATCACTCCTCAGCTATAGCTGTGTTCACTCAAGGCCCTAGGGCTCTACAGTTAGCAAGTAGCAAAGCCAGCTGGGCCTGTGTCCTTCTCTTCAGGGTGATAAAGTCCCCCTGGCCACCAGCGGGTCCAGAGATACCATATAGGAGTCAGGGACTAGAGTCAAAACCCTTAGAAATCTACCTGGCATTCTGTTGTATTGCGGCTGAGCTGGCACTCAAACCACAAGACACAGTCCTTCCCCTTTTCCGCTTTTCCACTTTCCCCTTTCCAAAGGCTGAGAAACCTCACCCCGTAGCCACCGCCATTCCTGGCCATGAGGAGTACTGCCAAAGTACCACCGACATTCCCTTAAGGACCAAGGGCTCTTATATCAGCTTGTGGTGAATGCTGTCTGGCTTGGACTCACTCATCAGGTCAGTGAGCTCCCCTTTGGCCCAGGGCAGGTCTAGAAATGCTGTCCAAGAGTCAAGTCCTAGAATTGGGGACCCCAAGAGCCCACTTGGTGCTCTACCCTACTGTGGTGGTGTTGGTACCTAAGATGCAAGACAAAGTGCCCTTTACTCTTCCTTCTGTTTTTATCAAGCGGAAGGAGTTTTGCCCCATAGCCACCACAGCTGGTAATGTGCATAGTCTCACCTGAAGCCAACAAGTCTCAGAAACTCACCAAGGCCCTCAACATAGTACCGTGGTATCACTGCTGGTTATTCAGGACCCAAGGTCTCTTCAGTTAGCAGATGATGAATGCTACCAGGACTGGGTCCTTTCCTTCAAGGCAGTGGGTTTCCTTCTGGCCTAGGGCATATCTAGAAATGTCGTCCCAGAGCTAGAGCTCAGAACAAGGGCCTCATGACCTCAAGGTGCCCTATTCTTCTGTGGCAGAACTGGTAAACAAGATGCAAGACAAACTTCTCCCCACTCTTCCCTCTCCTCTTCTCAAGTGAGAGGAAGGGGTTTCTTTTGTATTCACAAGCTGTTCAATCTGGGGTTGGGGGAGGGGTGATGCCAGCATTCCCTTAGCTGCCCCAGCTGGTATCTCAGTGTGTACCATGCTACTTTAGTCCACTGTGTTTGGGCCTAGTTCAGCACTAGGACTCACCTATGAGGTGCAGTCCTTATGGCCTAGACTGCCTTTCAAGTTTTTACTTAGACACCAAGAGTACTCTGGCCTTTGATACTGAGGTTTGTGGGCACTCAAGTTTGGACCTCTGGTATCAGTGATTCCCCTCTGGCTAGGGCTGGTTGAGATGCCTTCTTGTGGGTGGACATCAGCTTAGTTTGGTCAGATTTTCTTTTTGCTATAACAAGATGGCACTGGATTCAGTGCCTCACAATTGCTCTGTTCCTTCACCAGCACCCAGAGATGCTCCTGGCACCAAGCCATGCTGCTGGGGTCAGGGAGGGGTGGTGTCAGAGACTCAGAACTGTTTTTCTATCTTTTCAGTGTCTCTTTCAGTAATATGAGGTTAAAACCAGGTACTGTGAGTGCTCACCTGATTTTTAGCTCTTATGAAGGTGCTTTTTTCTTTGTAGTTGTTGGTTAACTTAGTGTGCTTGTGGTAGGGGTAGGGGGACAATCTGTGGAGTTTTCTGTTCTGCCATTTTACCTCACCTCCCTCCTAAAAAATATTCTTAAATGAGATTGTAATGTTTGTATGAACTTGCATGAAGACAGACTTCTTGTGTTTGGATCCTGTGTCTCTTACCCATTTTGTAACATTCTTCAACGTACTTATAACTCTGTGCCTATGATTCCTTATCTGTAAAATGAAGATAATAATAGTATCATAATAGATGTAAAACATTTAAAACAGTACTAAATGCCATGTAAGGTTAGGTGGTGGTATTATTACTATTTATCCTGTTTACCTCATATTCTGTGGTCATCTGTCAGTATTTGTGAATACCTTTCAGTGACAGGAAATTAATTCTACTTCTTGATCCTAATTCTACTCCCTGTCTGTTCCTAATCTTGTTTTTCCTTTGCTTCCTCTTTTCTCATCTACTCATATTTTATGTCTTCCTTCATGCTTTATATAACTTTTAGCCACCTTCAGTGTTTTTTGGAATAAAGTAGTGTATGCATACATACATATACATCTTTGTTCCTAGAATTTACCACTTTTAGTGCATGGTTTTTATCTTGGACATTCATATATTCTAGTTCCCAGAACAGTAACTTCTAGACTTTAATAAATTATTTATTGAATGAACGAAGGAATCAATGACTTCAAATTTGTGAGGCGTTGTATATGATTATTATTTTATTCCTAAATCTTATTCTTTAGACCAAAAGGATATCCAGTTTGACAGTGTTCTTTTTTAAGAATGATGCTTATAACTGAATATAATAGTTCCTATGGGATTCCATCAGCAGAGAGTAAAAGAGTATTATTATGTCATTTTATTCTATGTGTATTTGTCTGCTACTGTACTTAAAATACCAAATAGGAGGGGCAGTATGACTTTGGACTCACTTGCCATAATGCTGAAGTCAAATGTGTTGCTGTTAAATCAGCTTTCTTTTACCCAATTCACATTTGTGCTTTAAAAAAAAAAGTTTTACAAGACCTTGCATATTTCTGTTCAACTTATTTTTTAACATTCATTCCATTATTTCAGTATTTATTATAAGTTGTATCAGTTTCATATTTCTTCATCTTCTATATATGGAGTTTATGCCCCAGTTACATCTCCTTATCTGTAAGACTAGTAATACCAAAAAAGAAAATGAATTTCATGTCTTAAAATTTATCATTAGTAAATTCTATATTTTCTGTTGATTATCACTTTTAAAGGCCAAACCCTCTTTTTAGGAAGTTTTCCTGAATCCCACCCAGGAATCACACGCTGTAGTTTGCTCTATTTTACTAGATTTGAAAGCAGTCTTTTCCATTTATGTGGAAATTAGATTTCTGTTCCCTAGTTTCAGTGCTTACAACACCTTTCACTTACCTGTAGCTCTTATACTTTTGATCAAAATTAATTTTATACCAGAAGCCAGGAAATTTTTTAGAGTAGTAGTTTTGAATTCTTGTTATTTCATTCTACTGTTATCAGTAGCCTCCCATGTTAACACCATTGTTTCTTTCTGTTTACTTTCAGCTGGTTGGTGGAGAATTTGACTTGGAGATGAACTTTATTATCCAGGATGCTGAGAGTATAACATGCATGACAGAGCTTTTGGAGCACTGTGATGTAACATGTCAAGCAGAAATATGGAGCATGTTTACAGCCATTCTACGAAAAAGTGTTCGGAATTTACAGACTAGCACAGAAGTTGGGCTAATTGAACAAGTATTGCTGAAAATGAGTGCAGTAGATGACATGATAGCAGGTATGGGGTTGTCTGACAGGAAAGTATAACTTAAATGTTTATAAAGTTTCACATACTTCCCTTTATATTCCATAGGTAATGTAGATTTGTTGACACTACTTTGATTTAAAATAAATGGAAATGTATGGAAATTTTACTTTTTATATTAATGGGAAACGTGAAGAGTGGAAGAAGAAAAACATAATTACTGTAGTAGACAAACATAATTACTGATGTTTTCTAAATTTTAGAAAATCTCAGTACCATGGAGTGCTATGAAATCTATCAGAAAAATAAACAGTATCTTTTTATGTAGTATTTCATTAAGCTTTTACATAATTAAAATACCTCAATAGGTATTACAGTTCTGTATAATGAGCATTTTACCAAATTCTCCTAGTTCTGTGCCCCTCAATCTGGCATAAATGCAACTATGACAGGAGGTACTAAAAGTCTTAGATAAGCATGTTGTATCTTTTGGACATGTCCATTTTGGAAGAAACTTGTATTAAAATAAACTAATATATTATGGGCTAGAACATAAAATTCACCAAGAATTTCAAGATAAAAATACTAATGTTTTGCTTGTTTGGGTTATTTCAAACAGTAACTTTGAAATCTATATTTTTTTCACCACCAACCCTTTACTACCTTGCACACTCATTCTCCTGTGTGGCTGGATGCATTTCAGAAAAGTGTTTTGAATATTATTCCAGAGCAAGTATCATTCCAGAAAATAAGTTTAAAGTTTGAAATGTTTATTTTTTGTAAGCCATGAATTTTCAGCCTAAGTATCTTCTGACATAAAAGCATTTTTGTAATTACACAAGTGCTGATATTACCCTCCACAGTATCATTCCTGATCCGGGAAAGTAGTTCAGATACCAGAGAACACTCTTTAACATTTTGGCTTATGCATTTAATTATTTTTAAAATTTATGGAACTATACATTAAACAAGAAAGAATGGAATGAAAAATGGGTTAAAAAAGAATGCAAAATTGCAAAAAGAATGCTTTTAATTTAAATATTTCAAAAAATTTGATTTTCTGAGAAAATATATTAAAAATCATATCTAATTACCTTCAGGGTGGCATATATCTTTTTTTAGAATGGTTTAGCAGTCCCTGTATGGGGTACTGATGGCTAACTTGATGAAAAATGAGATTTAGACATCTGTTTCTTAAAATACCTTTTTAATAAAGATATGTTAATAGTAGCATTTCTATAAATTCTAGAGTTACTTAATAGGAATGTATTAATATAGACTTAAGTGTACACATGTTTTGTAGGACATCACATGATCTTTCAATTCTTATATCTGAGCTTAAGCTCTTTTTTTTTTTCTTTTGTAAACTGGCTGCTTCTCTATGGAGTGCAGTTTAGAGAATGAGCCAAAATTACACATATAGTAATTTACTGGTACATAATTCATGAGCACTGAAATGTAACAGTGACAGTACCATAGAAGTTCATATCTTGACATTGCTATTATATAAAGCTCCTTAATTCTCTTATCTTTTTCTCAGTAATAATATTAATAACACAAAACTTTCACTTTTTGCAATTTCTAGCATTTCCCTTCAAAAGAGCTTGATGTTGGAAGGATATGAGAAAAGAGACTAAATGTCAGAAAAATACCTCTGTCTTGCTTTTTAATAGAGAAATTAAACTTTGAATATTATACTAAGGAAGAACCGGCAGCCACCAAAACACTACTAACATTCATATCTGAATGTATTGTAGTATGTTAAGTTCAATGGGGTCCTTTTTATTTAATAATATAGTATAAGTGTCACTAGAAGTGGCTAAATTAAATATGTATAGCAAATTGATGAGAAAATTTCATGGTGTTAGTATTTTTCCTTTAAAAAAAAATCATTTCTGATTACTTTCAATCTTGTTCTCCAGAAAAGAAGACCTTCTATAATAGAATTAAACTGAGCTGCTTGGTTGTGTTACATATACAATATATAAGTAATTACTATTTTTTCTCTTTTAAAAATAATTTCTGATTGTTTTTAATCTTGTTCGCCAGAAAATATCTTCTGTAATAGAATTAAACTGAGCTGCTTCGTTGTGTTACATATATAATATGCAAGGAATTTTTAAAAATTTCTAATTAAATACAAAGTTAATAGATTACTTTTTGTGACATACATGGGAGATAAGATAAAGACTTGTATAACTTGAAAAAAAATTTAGATGTTGCAAATATTTTAAAAAGTTTTTTTAAAGTATTTTATGTAAACCTTTAAGAAATCTTCTGTAAAGGTTGCCATTGCAGCTAATTGCTTACAAATACTTCATATTATAGAAACATTAAATGGACTAAGACAAAAATACTTCATATTAGCTTAGGGTTTTTACAGTACTTGAATTTTTTATAGAAACATGCTTTTTGACCTATATATACTAATATTTTCATACATTTTTGTTGCTTAAGTGATGACATGTTTTATTTCGTTAAAATATTACTCTGAAAGTGGCATATCCACTGTCACACTTTTATTGTAGAGATTACTTGCTTATTGTGTGTTAAATAAAATTATTTATGAATTGATTAATTATTAATTGATGAAAATAAGCATACTAAGTTTCAATTTTGAAATATACAAATGAGAAATATTTTTTAAAGTCTCAAATTCCAGTTATTAATCTGTGATATGATATTGAATAATACACATTATATATCAGTACTAAGTATTTCAGCTTACCCTAACCTAACCTTTTTATTAATTGATTATAAGCTTTTAGAATATATATGTGTATTGCTTTGTAATAACCTTTGTAGTATGTTTCATTCTTAAGAAGTGCTTTAGAAATTGAGGAAATGAAGTATAAATGTTTAGATGTTCAATTTCTTGCAAAGAACAATGGCAGAAGAAGTATTAATCACAATATGTAGAGAAAGCAATCAGAGACAAGAGATTAAATGTGTAATTTTTCTCATTATTAGGTGTGCTGGTCTGTTATATGCACATATACACTCACACTAGCATGATGGATACCATTAGTAATGTACTTACAGACTAGTGTGTAAGAGTGAGGGTTCTGAAACTATACTGTCTGGGTTTGAATCCTGATTCTACCACTTACTAGGTCTGTGTTCTTGAGCAATGTGAATAAATTATCTGTGCCACAATTTACTCATTTTACAAGGGGATAAAAATGGTACTTACCTCATAGGCTTGGTGTGAGGATTTGTGAGGTTAGTATATGTAAACCACTTGGAATAATGTCTCACCTGGAGTAAGTGGTAAAAATTGCTAGTGGGCCAAGGAATATACCAAGAATATATTAAGAATGGACAATTCTGAAAGACAATATAGTCAGCTGTTACTTTTTCATTTGACAATAACCAATTTACAATTTTACATCTTTGTATATTTTCACATTTTTACCTACCTTTCCCTGCACACAGCAGGCTGTGTTGTGGTGTGTGTGTGTATGTGTTCTGGGAATATATAAAATCTATTTTACATTTCTGCTAAGAGAGCTTAATTGCATTGGTGATTTAATGGGGGAAAATCATATAATTGAAATAAATTATTTTGGTTATTTAATGAGTTAAAAATTGTTAATTGGGATGGCTATTCATGAGGACATTTAGCTGTATTAGATACATATATATAGAGAGAGATGACAATGACAACTTTTATCTTTCAAAAAGTATATTACCTTGACAGATGGCAGCTCATGACTAGAGTTCAGAATAACTTTATTTTCCTTTGAAGATCTTCTAGTTGATATGTTGGGGGTTCTTGCCAGCTACAGCATCACTGTCAAGGAGTTGAAGCTTTTGTTCAGCATGCTTCGAGGAGAAAGTGGAATCTGGGTAAGCTGTGGTCAGAGGGAAAGGTATTCAGTATTAGTTCATTAATACTTAATGTTCAAAAGTTTGTCTCTAGAGAGCTATATACTTGAATTTATAATGGAAATTGCTTTCCTCTTAAATGATTTAGTAAATGTTTTATAAATGATTTAAAATTAATTTTCTCTCTAGTTAAAAAACAGTCCAGTGGCTAACGTGGTATATTAAGTATTGTTGTTAAATTTGTACAATGACATTTATTTCTTTTATTGTTTCCCCAGCCAAGACATGCAGTAAAATTATTATCAGTTCTTAATCAGATGCCACAGAGACATGGTCCTGATACTTTTTTCAATTTCCCTGGTTGTAGTGCTGCGGTAAGTTTTAAATACATGTGCTGATTTTTATTTATTTATTTTTAGGTCAATTTTAGTAAGGTTTAATTTACATATAATAAAATTTACCAGTTTAGAAAGTACAATTTGATGAGTTTGGAAGTCATACAACCACTACTATATAATGATTTCAACAATTCCATCACTTCCCCAAATTCCCTTGTGCCTGTTGGAAGACATTCCCCCCTACCCATCCTCACTCCTTACTACCTCTGATTTACTTTGTGTTCCTGTAGTTTAGCCTTTTGTAGATTGTCATATAAATAAAATCATACAGTATAGTCTTTTTTTTTTTTTTTGACGGAGTCTTGCTGTCACCCAGGCTGGAGTTCAGTGGTGTGATCGCAGCTCACTGCAACCTCTGCCTCCCCCGTTCAAGCAATTCTCCTGCCTTAGCCTCCCGAGTAGATGGTATTACACACACCCGCCACTGTGCCCAGCTAATTTTTGTATTTTTAGTAGAGACGGGGTTTTACCATATTGGCCAGGCTGCTGTCAAACTCCTGACCTGCTGTTTGCCCGCCTAGGCCCACGAAAGTGCTGGGATCACAGGTGTGAGCCCCTGCACCCGGCCTGGTATATTGTCTTTTGTATCAGGCTTCTTTCACTTACCATGATGCTTTTGAAATTTTCTATGTTGTAGTTTTAATTACTGTTTTATTCTCTTGTCTTTTTTTTTTTTTTTGAGTAGTATTGTATTTTATGGATATACCACAGTTTATCCATCCTATCCATTCACTAGTTGATGGACTTTTGAGTTTCTAGTTTTTGGCTGTTATAAATAAAACTGCTGTAAACATTTGAGCACAGGTCTTTCTATGGACATATGTTTTCTTATATTTCGATTAAATACCTGAGTGAGATTGATGGGTTTTATGGTAACTGCCTGTTTACTTTCATGAGAAACTGTCTACTTGTTTTCTGTATTAGAACATTGTACATTTTCATAAGCTGTGTATGAGAGTCCCACTTGATCTGCCTCCTGGACATTTTCAGTCTTTTAAATTTGAGGGATTTAAATGGTTGTGTACAGTAGTCCCGCCTTATCCATGGGGGATATATGTTCTAAGACTGGCTCAGTAGATACCTGAAACCGTGGATGGTACTGAACCATGTATATAATATATACTATGTTTTTTTCCTCTACATACATACCTGTGATAAAGTTTAATTCGCAAACTGGGTACAGAAAGAGATTAACAACAATAACTAATAATAAAACATAACAATTATAGCAATATATTATTGTAAAACTTTTGTGAGTGTTGTCTCTCCCTCCTTCTCCTCCCTCATTGTCTCTCTTTCAAAATATCTTACTGTACTGTACTCACCTGTTTTTGGACTGTGGTTGACCATGGGTAACTGAAACCATGAAACCACAGATAAGAGGGGAATCTACTGTAATGGTACCTCATCATAGTTTTAATTTTGCATTTCATTCATGACTGATCATGATGAGCATTTTTCATGTGTTTATTGGCCATTCTTATATCTTCATTTGTGATGTTCTGTTCAAATCTTCTGTTCATTTAAAAATTTTGGTTGTTTATCTTATTATCCTAAGAGTTCATTATATATTTGGAATGTAAGTTCATCTATTAGATCAAGGTAAAATATTCCCTGTTTTAAAGAGTCAAGAAAAGTTACATATTGTTTGACAATAAAATGTTTTTTATATTGTATGATAATAAAACTGCCTGAACTAGTGCCTTAAATACTAAAATCTGAAAGGTTACTATAGGGTTTAACTCTTCATTTGAAATTGTGTGTGTGTGTGTGTGTGTGTGTGTGTATATGTGTGTGTGTGTTTGTGCGCATGCGTATGTGTGTATGTGTTTTTTTTTTTTTTTTAACAACAAGTACTTAGAAATCTTTGACTACTTTGAGATTATTTATTGGCCACCTACAGAGTATTTTCTATATCTTCAGTCATTATGCTTGGAGTATACTACATTCCTTACTCTTGAAGAACTCTGATGGCTAGACATGCAGATACAGCTTGTTACAATAAGAGTTATAAATGACACTGTAGATTTAGGTACTCATAACTATGGGAACACAGTTGAAAAGAGAAATCACGCTAGGTTGAAGTCCAGGAAAGCTTCACAGATGAGGAACATATTAGTCTGCCATTAAAGAATAATTGAGATTTTGTTGAAAGGAAGAATGATTTGGATAGGTGCAACATGATGTATAGAAAGAGGAACTGTAAAAGAAGTGGAATAGCTGGTATATTTAGGTGTACTTTGGAATGTGGGTTTGGGTAGTAGAGGAGGATAAAATCACAAGGGTTTGTTGGAGCCATAGCATGTGGGAAGTCTTGTATAACCTGAAGAAATTTAAATTTTATTCTGAATGCAGAAGATTTTTGACATAGAAGGGCCGTGTTTTATTTGAGAAAGGCCATTATCAGCAATATGAGGATCTGTTTGGGGAACAGGTTAATTTTAAGATCATAATGGGTAATTATCTTTTATGTAGAATTTGGATAAAGCCTAGGAAAATAAATAAATCCATTCAGATGTTTCTTGAAGTCAGGTGAAATAATCAGCTACTTTCTCATTTATTCCTTAGAATGGCTACATTTTATTTGAGTGCTATTTTCAAGGGATAGCTATTTTATTTGATTGCTATTTTTCCTTGTCTGCTTTTGAATGGATCTGAATCCTTTTTGTTTATAAATATCAGTGGTTAAGTTTCTGAGTAATAAATGTCATGCTTTGCCTTTCTTGGTTTCAATGTTGTTAGCATTATAAACATTCTCTCTTAATGCTTGCATGTCTTCAATATTGATTCCGTTAACATTTTCTAGCTCAGTCATTTTTGGCTTTAAATATTCAATCTCCTTTAACCAAATGGATTACTACTGAAAACCTAGCATAAACCATAGAAAACTGAAATTGGGAGGCTTATATGTAAGAGACTGTATACTGATGAAACTAGATGGGGACTTCTTGGAGTATAGTCTGAAACCTGCTATGTAACCTAGAGAGAAAATCTAATTCACTGAGTATTTGAAAATTGAATGCTTCTATAATCAACAAATACTATTTAGGTATAGTTAGATTGTTTTAATAAAATACTAGCTTTTATTTTATGGATTTGTTTGTGATTTTCTGATATTTATACTTTGATTGTTATTTAATCTGCAAAAGCCATATTTGACATTAGCTACTATCACATTTCTTTAACTGATACTTTTGTACCTTTTCTCATTGCCTTGTAGGCAATTGCCTTGCCTCCTATTGCAAAGTGGCCTTATCAGAATGGCTTCACCTTAAACACTTGGTTTCGTATGGATCCATTAAATAACATTAATGTTGACAAGGATAAACCTTATCTTTATTGGTAAGTAGATGTTTAATTTTAGGACTTTTTTCTTTAAGTACTTGAATTCTATAAATGTATAGTCTCAAGGCAACTTAGAATATATATATATATGTATATATGCTAAAACTGTGAAGACACTGTAAATCAGTTTTATTTATGTGTGTATATATGCATTTATTTTGCTATTGATTCTAGGTCATCTGCCTCACAATTATTCTTTTTCAATTACAGTTTAAAAGTCAAAGGTACAGACTTTCTGTCCCAGTCTCCTTCAATGTATATCAGTTGTGGGAATTTTAGTGAGGATTGCTGGTCCCTGAAAAAAATTCCAAACTTTTACCAGATTTCATTCATTTTTGCCTTTTCACTTACTTTGTTCTATTAGCATAACTGACATATGCTTGAAAATTGTTAATAATAGCTACGTAAGAAATTATAAGGTAAGATTATTTGGTGTGAACAACTAGAATGAGTTGATCAACCTAACAATGTGTTGATCTGTAAGGGTTGAAAGCTTGGTAATTTTAGTATGCCAGTAATGATGCACAGTCAGCATACTTATGAATAAGAACATCAAACATTCATTGATTGCCATATTATATGCTAGGCATTGTAAATGTTTATATATATGAACTCATTTAATACTTGCAATACTCTGAAATAAGACTGCCTGTGTTCAAGTTTTGGCTTCACCACCTACTATTCACCCTGTATTTTTGGTGTCTTCAACTATAAGATGAGGATAGTAATAGTGTCTATCCCATAGGATTTAATGAGAGAATCGTATTTAAAGCTCTTTGTTTAATGGCTGGGTCAGAAATGTGAGCAAAGAAATACGTGACCTATTACTATCTTCTAAAGTTCTATTATAAAATATTATATATGGATAAAATGAGAGCAAGTTTTAAATAAGCATCTGAACTTCCAAACATAAATGGGGTTGGACTTCAGAGTGGTCATTTTGGGAGGTCATACATTAATTTCAGTGGTACCTTCATTTTTCGATGATTAAACATTTTTCTACATTGTGATTAAATTTACAGCTAAGGGGAATGCTTCTGTAGAAGAAAACAACTATATTTCATAGTTACATCTTTTTATTTTTTTAAACTAAAAATGTACTGCTTTACTTGATCAGCTGCATTATTTATCAACCTTGACTCTGACCAAGTTTTTTTTTCTTTTTGTTTTTAATTTGTAAGCTCTTTTCAAAGGATTATAGAGCAGATTGTTATTTAAAATGTGAACTTTGTGTAAACGTGTTCTGTATTTGCTGATTGCAAATGGTCCTTAAAAGTAGATAAAGTCTACTTGGTGGTAGGTTTTTGTTGGCAATTAATTTGTTTTTAAGTATTTCTGAGATATTAGATTGAAATACTAAAAGCTTTCATAGTCTTTTGTTTCCCAGTTTAAATTTCTTATATTTACTTATAACTAAACCTTTAATATTTTTGTTATTTTTTATTTGACACATATTAAACTGCTTCTACTGTACAGGGAAATAAGTTTTATTTTCATAAGAATGTTTAATAGCCATTAGGTGTTTAGTTCTTTTTATCAGAGGATATTATACCATTGTCAGTTGTCTTTGCAGTTTTCGTACTAGCAAAGGAGTTGGTTACTCTGCTCATTTTGTTGGCAACTGTTTAATAGTCACATCATTGAAGTCCAAAGGGAAAGGTTTTCAGCATTGTGTGAAATACGATTTTCAGCCACGCAAGGTAGGTAAAAGTAAATATTTTTATAACTCACCTGTTATGACAGAATTCTTAACTCTTTTATAACCTCTGTAGTATTCTCTTTCACTGGTTTTCCTATGCTTTTAATGGTTTTCTCTTATCCTTGTCTGTGTTTCCTTTTTATTTTTATGTTTGATTTTTATCTTCTATAAAATAAGTGTTTTGATCTTCTGTGATGCATTTCTGTTACCGTCTCTCATTATCTCAGTGTGATCTGTTCTATGGCATTCTTTCGATAAATACTTATTATTTACTGAGTATTGGACACCATTGTAGGCACTAGGGATTTATAAATATTTGCCCCTTTTTAAAAAAGCTAAATGTTAAACCCTCAGATTAAGCAATGCACCATTACTTTTTTTGTGTGTGTGTGGGAGATTCACCTAATCCTAGTAGTTCTGAGTCTTGTTTCCTAAGATGGAAGGTTTTGTTAATTTCTGATGCTTTAATAATGCTGGCTTCAAGGAGAAGAATGTTGCTGTGCTATTAGTTTTGGCTCATGAAATGTGTCTTTACTTAATATCCTAAATAATAGCAGAGACAAGGCCAAAACACATTTTAAAAACTGCTCTAAAGAGAAAATGCAGAGAACTGTGCAACTGTATGATTAGAATTATAAGAGATAATTCATTCATAATTAGATGGCATTTTCTAGAGAGATTTTCCTGCCTGTCTACCAGACTCCGTCTTTGTGTCAGAGTAACAAACTATCTGAAAGTCCAGATAAAAGAAAACAAGGACAGAGTGCAAAGGAGTTCCCGTCACACATGTTTAAGGCTTTGTCCCCTTCCAGGTTCAGGGTTCTTTCTTGGGTATATGACAGTGAGATTGTCAACATTTTTTAGGGCACACTGACTTCTCCTGACAGAAATATCACCTTACCCTTTGTGATTAATGGTACAATCATAACAGATATGATGAACCCAGATGCGGTGAGGGGGAGGTCTTTATTTCTTTTTCATATCTTTTTTGTTTGTTTTCTTGTTACTTACGATCTGATGTGTGTCTTGCTATATACAGAGAAATTATTTTGGGTGGTATTTTCAAAAATTTGTTTAAATTTTACATGATTCTAACGAAAAATATTTGCTTTATATTTAATGTCAGTTACTGTCATTTCTATTAAAGAATATCAATTTAACAATAATTCATTAATATATACTTAGAAAATAGTTTAAAAAGCAATGATTCTGAATACATATATTTGTTCATTATAATGTTGTATTCTTTCTTTTTTAATACAAATAGATTATTTTAATACCAGTCACATTGCCTTTGCTCTGGAAATTCTGTTTTATTAGAATTAAGGTGAGACCAAGATAGTTTGCTAAAAGTGCCAAATTATTTTGAATTTCAGTGGAATTGATTAGAAGTACGGTTGTTGGTATCATAATTTTTCATGTTAGGATTGTGTGTTTTTAACAAATATTCTAGGTAACTTTTCTCATCAGACAATTTTAGGAAACAGTGGTTTAAAGAATACACATGCAGACAATTAGAGTGAAGTTATAACCAAATGAAATTGTCATTAACCAATAAAAAGCACTTTAACCCATTTGTTCTCACTTTTTCTATTTTGTGTCTTCTTCACTGTTTACTTGTGGAAAACACATTCTCCTTTGTAAAGCTCTCAATATGCAGTGATTCTAAGGGGTCTAGTTAGGAGCAGGTCCAGAGAATGATGTGGATTTTAAAAAGTCTTCTGTGAAGATTCTCACAAACCTTGAAACATCACAAATATTTGCTTTTACTGTGTTTCATTATAATAAGTTCATTCTCTTATTTATTCCTTTCTTTAGTTTTCCACAGATGCCCTAGCTAAGTTGTTGTTATCCTTCCTAATAAGAGATTTACTGGCCTTTCAAAAAGAAATCTTTTTTTTTTTTTTGAGACGGAGTCTCGCTGTGTCTCCCAGGCTGGAGTGCAGTGGCGTGATCTCGGCTCACTGCAAGCTCCGCCTCCCGGGTTCACGCCATTCTCCCGCCTCAGCCTCCCAAGTAGCTGAGACTACAGGCGCCCGCCACCACGCCCGGCTAGTTTTTTGTATTTTTAGTAGAGACGGGGTAACTTTTGCTTTCCGAGCTGCACTACTTAACCAGCTGTTAGAACTTGTGAAAATGGATATAAACCATTAGCATGTTACCTAATGGTGATATGTGCTCTAGACATATTAGCTACTGTTGATATCATGCTGTACTTTTTAATCTTCAATTTATTTTCATATCTTTATATATATATATCTTGTGGATTCTTAATATAGATTTTTTTTTCCTTATTACTGGTTGTGTCCTTTTATAAATTTCTTTTTGAGTCTCAAACTAAATGCAGACTTCACTGTATATACATAATATCACTATGCACACATAGTTTCCAAGTTTATTTTTATTTTCTTTAGTCAAGGTATATCAGATCAAAAGTTAGGCTTTTTTTTTTTTTTTTTTTTTTTTTAACCATTGAAAAACTCACTTGTGTCATCTGTAGAGTACAGTTTGATGTACCAAGGAAAGAGAAAAGTTACTTTTCTTGTGAATAAGTACTATGGTCTTTACTGGGATCAGCTCATTAATCAGTGCATTTGTTTATTCATTCATTTAATTTTATCATATATTATTGTTATAACCAAAAGCAAACCTTGATAAACTCCAAATCTGAATAATTTTTCTGTATTAATTATCTTAAGTTAATGGTACCCTTACCCATCTAAGTGAAAATTGGAAGCCATTTTAGACTCCCCTTTTGTATGTTAACACTTCCTATCAGTTCTGTTAGTTAACTCCCATCCTCACTTTAAAATTATTAATGCCTTTGGCTGGGCGCGGTGGCTCAAGCCTGTAATCCCAGCACTTTGGGAGGCCGAGGCGGGCGGATCACGAGGTCAGGAGATCGAGACCATCCTGGCTAACCCGATGAAACCCTGTCTCTACTAAAAAATACAAAAAAAAAAAAAAAAAAACTAGCCGGGGCCGGGCGCGTTGGCTCAAGCCTGTAATCCCAGCACTTTGGGAGGCCGAGACGGGCGGATCACGAGGTCAGGAGATGGAGACCATCCTGGCTAACACGGTGAAACCCCGTCTCTACTAAAAAAAAATACAAAATAGCCAGGCGAGGTGGCGGACACCTGTAGTCCCAGCTACTCGGGAGGCTGAGGCAGGAGAATGGCGGGAACCCGGGAGGCGGAGCTTGCAGTGAGCTGAGATCCGGCCACTGCACTCCAGCCTGGGCGACAGAGCGAGACTCCATCCCCCCCAAAAAAAAAAAAAAAATTATTAATGCCTTTGTCTTAGTTCAGCGGCTTATGGTATCTTACCTAAACCTTTGCAGTGTTTCTTCAGTTTTGTCTTTATCCACACTTGCCTACCTATCTCACCTCCACATTGCTGCAGTTATATTCTTTAACTATGGAGCTGATCGTTTTAACTTTCCTCCTCAGAATTATTTGGTTATACCACATTATGCAAAAAACAAAGGCCAGGTTCCTAAAGGTCTGTTTACAATCTGGTCTTTGCCTGTTTTTGTTTTTGTTTTTTTTCCTGCTAAACCTACACACTGAGGAAAATTTTGTCAAGCATTTGTGCTGTATCATATTAAGATTCTGCCTGGAATTTTTTTTAACCCCTGTCTACTGAACAATTCCTTTTCATCCTTAAAGCTTAGTCTTACGGTTCATTTTATTCTTTCAGTGAATACTTCTATGATAGTCTTTCTTCTCTATTTGTCTTTCCTTCCCAGTTACTTATAGTAATTACTTGTATTACTCCCACATCTGTATTTTAGATACTCTCTATTGTTCTCATAACTGTTTCTCTAGTGAAACTTCCTTCAGTGTGTATATGTTGTCTGTCTTTATATACCCATGATCCAAGGTTGGGACAAGATACTTGGCATAAAGTAGGCTCTCAGTACATTTTTTGAATGAATGAATGATTCTGAAAGGTAAATAATAATCAATTTTAGCATAAATGAACCTCATGAGGACATAGTAGATAAAAACAAAATAGCAGTTTAGTTAATGGTATGTCATTTATGGGTGCCAAATACATTGGGAACTTTTCTTCATAGTTTTCATATATTATCTATTTATAATATTCACAAGGAATCCATAAAGTAGGCATTATTATTCCCCTTTTTCAGAGATGCTAAGTAATTTGCCAAAAGCCATAGAGCTAGTAACTTGGGAATCCAATTCATGTCTTTATGAAGTAAAATTCTTGCTGCCCAGTACATTGAGTTATCTGGAGTAGTAAGAACATTGAGTTATCTGGAGTAGTAAGAATTCAGTAAGTATTGTTTGAATGAGTACTTTGTTTTATAGCAAGTACACCAATAAGTATAATATTACATCTAGTATTTATCGTAAAACTATCTTTGGGCAGGAAATCTTTGCCTATATGTAGGCATTTATTTGTGTCCCTTCTCTTTAAAAATGCAAAGTTTTTACACATTTTACTCCACAATATAAAGTTTGTATCTTCTATGTTATTTAGGTAGCATTCTGGTTGAATATTTTCAAATTCAGTGAAGGTAATATATGCAAACTTTAATTCTTATACTTGTAAACTTCTGTAAGATTTTTCTTAAATTTATTTGACGCTCTTTTTTATGGTTTCTTCTTGATAATTTTGTATTATTTAGAAACAATTGTTAAATGACTACATTAAAGATTTTCTCTTCTGATTTTAATCAGGGCTAACATATATGTTGGTTTCGAATCAAGTGGAAGACTTAGTTTGCAATAAATTAATAATTACCTGGAATGAAAAAAAACTTAAAAAAAGGATGTGCATTTTAGACAGTTAAATGTCTTGACCTGACCTTGCTTTTATAGAAGGACACTGTTGTTTTGTATTACTGACTTTTTTGAGTTCTCTAACACACTATTTTTTTTCTTTTTCTTTTCTTTTTGTTTTTTGTTTTTGAGACAACATCTTGTCCTGTCGCCCAGGCTGGAGTGCGGTGGTGCAATCTTGGCTCACTGCAATCTCTGCCTCCCAGGTTCAAGTGATTCTTGTGCTTCAACCTCCCGAGTAGCTGGGATTACAGGCACATGCCACCACGCCTGGCTAATTTTTGTATTTTTAGTAGAGACAGCGTTTCACCATGTTGGCCAGGCTGGTCTCGAACTTCTGACATCAACTGATCTGCCCACCTTGGCCTCCTAAAGTGCTGGGATTACAGGCATGAGCCACCGTGTCCAGTCTATTTTTATTTTCTAAATTGAAATGAACAAAATTGAATTTTGCTCAAAGTATTTTAGATACCTTGAAATAACTTATATTTTAGTGATTAAGGATTATTATAACTTTTTATTTCTCAAAATATATATGAAATAATTGAATAGTGCATTTAAATAATCTGTAGAAGAAAGTTTGTATTTTATATTTTGGAGGGAGGGAGAAACCGGTTAATTTTCCCCCGTTCAGAAAGCATACTTGTTCAAATGTTTACAAATCATTTGTATTTTTCTATACTTTAGAAAAAAATATTTCTATATGCTCAATTTTAGGCTATTAACTCTCAAGCGACTAAAGGTTGTTTCAGATATCAAACCATCCATATTAAAATAGGTACTTAAAATGCTTTTTGATACCAGTAACTGTAAAATGGGCACTTAATATGAACTCATTCATTTATTCTTAATAAATATTCCCACATTAAGTTATTAATTATATAATTATCACTGGATTTACTAAATCTAAATTGTGAAATTGAAGCTACCTAAATCTTATTATAGATGCTAAAATGTTGTTTCTTTGACAGATCTTTCCTGACCACGCAATCCAAAGTAGAATCCTAGTTTATTCTTTTTCAGTTTATACTGTTCTTTTTCTCCTCACTGTAATCACCATGATTTATAATTCTACATTTGTTTAATTGTGTCATATATATTTCTTTTACTAGCTCATAAATTCTGGGAGAACTGGTCAGCCTTGGGTGTCTGCAGTGCCTGGCACAATGTAAATTTTAAATGAATGAACACAAATAAATTATATTTCCACAATTTCACATCTTGGTATAGTGGAAGGAATATCACTCTGGAGGTCAAGGGGTTGTAGTTCTTGTCTTCTCCAAGAATATTCTTTATGTGCTACTTGTACCATCTGTGAAATGAGAGATTGGAGGGGGAGCTTGAGGAAGTGGTATTAGATGATCATTAATAGTCCTGTCAGCATATTCTTGTAGGGTTTTATGAATGTTATAACTGCATTTTAGACCATAATAACCAAACATTACATATTGATATATTTGCTTTTTTTTTTATTTAAGTGGTACATGATCAGCATTGTCCACATTTACAATCGATGGAGGAACAGTGAAATTCGGTGTTATGTTAATGGACAACTGGTATCTTATGGTGATATGGCTTGGCATGTTAACACAAATGATGTAAGTCTTTATTTTTCTGTCTGTGTTTTCATTTGAGAGAATGATCTATCATTACAATATGAATTGAATTATAAAATAGTTTGGTAGCAACTTAAAACTTAGAAAATTTATTCTTTTTATTAAAATGAATCTTCCATTGTTAAATTTAGTATAAGAAAATTGCTAAAAGACATGATTAATGATAAAAAACAAACATTTGGCCAAAGTTTTAAGTTTTTTAGATAAAAAACCTTGAATCTTATTTTCCAGCATCAAGCACTAAAAAATGTGGTTTACCCCTTATTTAGATATAAGAAGACCCTAAACAAAAGTATAACATATAGTCACTATTATTCATTACATAGTGATAAATGCTATGGGGAAAATAAATTGGGCATACAGAAAGTGTAGGTGTAGGGAAGGGAGAAGCCAGATACTGCAGAGATGATTTTAGCAGAAAGAGTTGAGCAAGCAAGGTGTGTGGGGAACTTGTTCTATTCAGTGGGAACAGTGAGTGCAAAGGCTTTGAGGCAGAATAGGAAAGTTCAAGGAAAAGGCAATTTGTCTGAAGCAGAGGGAGGAGGCGGCATGAGGTTAGGCAGAAATCATTTTGGCCTTCATAAGCAAACAAGGCCTGGGCTTTCGCATCTTACTCAGCTTAAAAATCCTTGGAAAGTTTTCAGCAGAGAAGTGATGTGTGCTTCTATTTTAGAACCATCAGTCTGCCTGCAGTATTGAGAATATTTTGAAGGGAAATTACTGAAGCAGGAAGATCACTTAAATCGCTTATTGCAATAAAACAAAGAGACTATATTAGTTTCTACCAGTATGTTAGCAGTGGAAGAAGTGACACAGTAGGATTCTAGGTAGAGGATAACTAGAATTAAAACCTCAAGGGTCCTTATGATTTCTCTACTTTGGACTTTCTGTTGTCTACATTCTGGCCTGTCAGAGCCAAAGTGAAAGGTTTGTTTTAATGCTGAAAGTACCTCCAAGCTCAGTAATATACAACCCTTCAAGCATACCTGGTTTTATAAGAACTTACCTCTTAAACACAATTCATTTCTCAGTTTTGTTTGCATCTCTCTAGGCTTTCATCTCCCAAAGGGCAGGGATTTGCTTATCCTGTTTTGTATTCTTTTAGCTAGCATGTGCATATGGTCCATAGTTTGTCCTGTAGATGGGGACTTGGCAGACTACACCCTATGAGCCAAATCAGACCTTCCCCCTGTTTCTGGTTTTGTATAAGCTGGGGGCTAAGAATCTTGGCTTTTAATTTTTTAAGTTTTTTTTTTTTTTTTTTTTTTTTTTTAAGAGACACAAACCAAATCAAAGCAGAATGGGACAGAAACCAGGTGTGGCAGGCAAGGTTTAAAATATTTTCTGTCTGTCCCTTTATAGAAAAAGTTGCTTTTCTCTGCCATAGAAACTCATGGTTGAGCCACAACCAATAAATATTTAATAGAATGTTGTTTTCAGAATTAGAATACACAGATGAAATTCTCCTTTTTATCTTCTCTGCAGAGGAGATCTTCTCTCCAGAGTCATTTTATTATAGAGTGGAAGAAACCCCAGTGGTCTTCTTGACTCGTTAAATGATAAGACAGTATCTTGGAAAGAAAAGGCTTACTTTATTGGTTATTTGTAATAGTGCCCTAAGAAGTGGAGAATTCTAGATAATAACACATATATACATACTTTAGGCAGTTAAAATTCCTATACTTCTAATTAAAGATTGGGTATTTAATGACAACAATTTTTTTTTGCCTTTGTACCCCATTCACAATTTTTTTACTTTATTGAAGTACCAAAAGTACTTCTTACATATATAATTCTTGCTTATTCGTACTAAGGTGTGAAATAGCCTGTGGGGATAGGGGAAGGGAACTGAGCCATGACTGCTTTCCCTGGTTTCGGTGGGTGGGGTGTAAGAAGTAGAGCCTGGAAGGATCTTGTTAAGCTTTTGGCTTCTTCAGTGCTGAATTCCTCATGTGGAGAGCACTGTATCATTGGCTTTAAGAAGCAGATCTTAGTCTTATTGTTTATTTGATTCTGTGTAATTCCTACTCATATATGGGAATGGCTTTGTGTCTTTTACTTAATATGGAGGAATAGAGGAATAGATTCGTAATTTCAAAAATAAAGTAGAATAAAAAAATTATACCCTATGTGTTCATGATTAAATGTTGGAATAGTCATTCCCTTGATTCAGATCAATGTCTCTATATATGGATCATTATACATCATTACAGTTGTATATTAGTTTAACTTTTTAAAATAAATAATTATAATCTCTTTTGCCTTTAACTGTAATATTTGAAAAGTGGTAAGTCTGAAGATTGAGTAGGTGGCTACTGTTTGTTTGCTTAAACATAAGTGTGCATGTAACTGATCATTTTTCCCAAAAAACTTGACTGGCATTTATTATTTAAATAATAAAGTCTTAATTGATGCTTTCTGCTATTATTTTTGTTATATTTTAAAATATTCTTGATAATGGAGGCCAATTTAAGGATTGAAACCTTTTTGTCATTAAAAATAATGCATTTGATTTTTTTTATGACTTTTAAAAATAGAGCTATGACAAGTGCTTTCTTGGATCATCAGAAACTGCTGATGCAAATAGGGTATTCTGTGGTCAACTTGGAGCCGTGTATGTGTTCAGTGAAGCACTCAACCCAGCACAGATATTTGCAATTCATCAGTTAGGACCTGGATATAAGGTAGTAATAACTGTAATTTTATAAATTCTATGGAGAGTTTTAGATGTAAAATGTGGTGTAATATAATTTTTAGTGAAAATCTTTCTCTAATATGGTTTAAGAGTCATTTCTATTTTTTTTAGGATGTAGTCAGTTTTTATTATATGTTTCTTTTTGGTTCAAAGATGCTTTTTTTCTCACCTGTTTTCTCTTTATAAACTTTTTTATTCTTCAGAATATTTTCTAATACTGGTGGCATGCCTTTTGTTAACAATTCTGAAATAATCTTATAAAACTATTTTGCTTAATGTAGTATTTAAAATACAAAAATTTGAAATATACATATTACAGAGTGAACATAATAAAGAACTTGTTAATATTACTGGTAACTTGGAAACAAGAGTTAAAGATTTAGAAGGAAAGTAAGATAATATACTTCATGGACCTGAAATTATTCAATTTTAGCTTATATTTTTGCTTTAATTGCACTAAGTGAGGAAGTAGGTACAGTAGTGAGTATACTAATTTAGCAAAACTAATGTAATTTATCATATTTTTTTGTTTTTTAAACGTTCAAAACAAAGACTCTCGGTAAGATAGAGCATGCACATATATGAGTTAGTTTTAAATGTGAAGTATACCTGGCTAGGGGAGTGTATAGGGGTTCTATTTAAATCACATTAGGAATTGTGAAGTCTCAAACTACTTGGAGCTGAAAGAGAATTACACATTATCGTCAAAGTGTTTATATTTCTGAAGGAGTACTTGTCTTGTATGGAAGTGTGGTTTTTTATTGAACTCAATTTAAATAATTAATGTGAACATTGTGTTATGGAAAGGAGTAGTAAATATTAAAAATATTCCTTCTTTGGCCTTTGTATTTTTGCATTGGTATTTCTCTTTTTATGTCATTTATATATAGATAGAGAGAGCGTGAGACACAGAGAGAGAGGAAAGTTTGAATTTACCCATATTAAAATACCTTTTGTTCTCAATGACTTTAATAACCATAATAATATTGAAGAATAATAATGCTATTATTTTTATGTCAAGGTAACAATACTTGCTATCATATATTCTCCATATCATTTTTTTTTTGTCTTACTAGCTCTAGAAATGCATTTGTGCTTGTACAGCTGCTTTTTCTTTCATGGGTCGTTTTGTTGGGTTTGCATCCTGGTTCTGCCATTGTTGATCTTGCATAGGAATATTTTTGTAATTCACATTTTTTATTAATATGCGGCCTGCTTTTCTTTCCTACTTATTTGAGTTGTTTCATAAAATACTTGCAGTGTCTTTTTAAGCTCTAATAGAATGATATTGAATAGAGTGACAAGCAAACAAATGAAATATAAAAAGGTAGAATATCAAGAAAATACAAATCCAATACGATTGCTAATGCAAAATTTCAGAATTGATGGGAGCTTCCTTGCAACATCAAGGAAAAGGCTGAATATAAGCAATTTTGTAATTCTTCTATTCACAAAGAAGCAAATTTTGTCCTAAACAGCTTTGCAAATTTTGTAATTTGTAGTATTCTTTTCACAAGTCTTTCTTGTTGTTCTTTTTAACAACAGTGATAATGAGCAGTAACCCTGTCATCATGTGTGCACAGCTCACGTGACATAGTGTATCCTTGTTTTCCTAACACGCAGTAGAGTGCCTAAAGTCAGAACTTTTAAGAGAGAAACCTGTAAATTTGGGCGTTACATCAGAGAGTATTTTATTAAGTTTTGAACGTTCTCAGCTCACTGCACCCATTGTTGTTAGTGGGGGTTGATGATAAATCCACGGATACATGCATTTTCTCAATTTGTAAATATTATAAGTACAATTGCTATCGTGACAGGCATCAGCAAAAATTTTTCATATTAAAAAACTTTTTTTTGTAGGAATTCAGAAAATATAGGGAAGGAAGAATGCATATGATCAGATTGTGTTTTGATAGAAGAAAAGCTGAGTAGTTCACACATTATACTCACAATTATCTTGGTAAAGTCACTTCCTGTGAGTGAAGGGGTAGAGGGCTACAGTGGAATTTTTAAGGTGTAGGGAATATAATAACTAGTGGACATTTGGATAAATCCCAAACGGAGTTTAAATTACTTAGTGTTGTATAATAACATAGTATTTATAGGTTTTGCCTTGAGTTATATGGAACTTTCTTTCATTGTAATGGTCAGACAATATTTATGATTCTGAGTTTAGTGTAGATAGCATGTCAACATATGGGCTTCGAAATTAATAAAATAAGTTAATTCTACCTTCAAATAATGTCATCAAACTATATATTCAATGGAGCCTGTTACAAATGATTTTGACTTGTTGGTCACTGGAGTGCCAGGTAATTTTTGTTCTGTCGAACATTTGGTTTTGAGCATTGCAGCTTATCAGTAAAAATTCAGTACTTGGTTATTTTCTGGCAGTAATAAGTTAGGGTATCACTTATTAACTAAATAAACCATTCAGTTTGGAAAGTAAAATACAGAAATTCAGAAAATATTTAAAATACAGAAAATCTCACTGTAGATTTGTCTAGTATGGTAAAATTTACTACCAGGTAAGTTTACTGTGGATCTCTATTTGGAGTTATTTAATGTCTTCGAGATTATAAAATCTTGTGTATCAGATGGCCCTTTGACATAAGCTTGCAAATCAGATTTAAACAAAAGTTTTATATTTTATAATTATTACTAGATATTTTATCAGTGTTACGTTAACCCTTGTGGCAAGCAGTTAGTCTTCATTGCCAGATATTTGAAAATTTAGCTTTGAGTTCTCTCCTTCATCTATGAATATCGTAACATAATGGTATTTATAATTTGCTATATCATAATAAAGTTCTAACTGATAAGAGAAAAAGTATAACACAACCTCCAAAATTAAAATTCACTTCAGAGGATTTCCAATACTTGTATGGAGGGGTGAGCTCCTAACAAACTGATATTCTCACAAATAACCATTTGCAAACTCTGCACATAATGTAGATAACATCTATTTGAGGGTTATGGAGATTGAATAAAAGCAGGCAGGCTTTGGAGGGTAGTCAATATATGGAACAGTCAGTCTACATGGCTTGATATCTCCATTTTTTGCTTTTATAGGAAACTTTCTGGCCAGAAAATTTCTCTACAATATTGTACAGAGCAATAGTCACAAAATTTAGCATATAATCCAAAAGTACTTATTCTAAAAATAGTCAGGAAAATGTGACTTATTCTCAAGGGAAGAGAAAATCATCATATACCAACTCCAAGATAACCCACATGTTGGAAATACCACATGAAGTCTATTATAACTAGTGAGGTAGAGAAAAATTTACTTACAATGAATTAAAAGATAGGAAGTGTCAACCATGAAATAAAACAAAATCAGATGGCAGTTCTAGAACTGAAAAATATATCAAAATTAAAAAACTGTATGGGCTTATTAGCAGAGTTAATATGATAGAGAAGTAAATGAACTTGAGTATAGATTGATATAAACTTGGAAGAGAGTTATGAAAGATTGGGGTAAGAAAATAGAACCCTGGAGATGTATGGGGCAATTTTGAAAGGTCTAATAGACACAGTGTAAGTGAAAGAGCCAGAAAAAATATTTGAATAAATGATGATCAAAAACTTCTCAGATTTGGTAAAAGGCTTATATTTATAGATTGAAGAAACTCTGAAAATTCCAACCAAAATAAATGCAAAGAGAACCAAAGTAGGCACATTACAGTCAAAGTGTGGAAAACCAAAGATAAAGAGAAAATCTTGTAAGCAGGCAAAGGAAAAGTAGACATTGATAAGGGAACAATAATTTGAATATCTGTACGCATCTCATCAGAAAGCAGGAAAGCCATAGAGCTGGAACAAAATCCTTAAAGTTATGAATGGAAGAAAAAAATCAATCAACATAATTTTTTTATCCAGTGAAAATATTCTTTAAGGCTTTTGAAAGAAAATTAAAGAAATTTGTTGTTATTTGACTGTCATTACTGACTGAGGAAGAAAACCTGGATGATTAGGAGTATATACATGTAATACATATGACAACTAATGGAAAGATTTGGGGAGAGGCTATAAATGCATCTATATAGTTGAAAAGTTACTGTATGTTACAACGTGTCTTGATAGAATGATGTTGACTACAATTCAATGGCTAAAGCAAAATTAACAAAGTGAAAATTGCATGTCTTTTCTTGAATGATAGGTAAATGTGTATCCAGTATTTCATTTACCTATAGCATATGCTCTAGACCCCTCTTTCAAATTAAAGGTAACAAAAGCTCAGTTGAAAGGAAAAACAAAATAAATCAATGCTAGCTACTACAGGTGAGGTAAATGAAATACAAATAATGAGCCTTCACTAATTCATCTGTTCATTCTTTTATTAAACATGTGGACACTGTTCTAGATGTTAGGGATATAACAATTAAACAAAACCAACAAAAACCCCTGCCTGTATTTTGGAGAAGTAGGGTGTGCAGTATCATGGGAGAAGACAGGTAACAAAACAAAAGAAAAATAAATAGTGTCTATGTGATGATGAGAGCTATGAGACACACAAAGCAGGTAAAAAAGATGGAAGTTGATGCTAGCTAAGTGGATATCTGGGGAAAAGCTTTAAGGTTAAATGCCAGAGCAAGAAGGAAGGCCATTAGCAGAAGCTTACTTCACAGATTAAAGAACACTGTGACTGTGTTCCTGTGACTGTCACAGAAGGAGCAAGGGGGAGCGTCAAAGATTAATTCAGAAAACAACTATATGCTTTCAGAGGATTGTTATGACTTCATTTTTGCTCTTGAGTGAGAGGGACAGCCATTGAAAAGTTTTGAGTGTCCTGGCCTAATACCAATTTGAAAAGGATCACTCTGGTTACTATGGTAAATAGGGAGAAAAGGTGGAAGTAGGGAGACTAGTTAGGGGACTGTTGGAGTTATTTAGTGAAAGAGCTCTGGAAAGTATTGAGACTTGATTAGATTTTTGATAAAGCATATCTAAAATATCTAAGACTCTGAAAGGTCAGCTTTTGGACAT